ACATACACGGACAAACGGGTGGCAGTCTGCTGCACCAAACAGATACCAAAAGTGGGAAATCTGAGCCCTCTGCCTCAGCAGTTCACAGCACATGAACATACACGGACAAATGGGTGGCAGTCTGCTGCACCAAACAGATATGTGACCTGCAGTGGCACAGGAACAGGCACAGAACCTCACAAGGATGGCAGCCCCTGGGAACAAGGACCACTTCAGCCAGCCGCTGCGAATGAGAGCCAGGTCCCAGCCACACAGCTTCACTTGTCCCGCAGGGGTTTCCCCTCTGAGCAAGTCACCAAGGTGAGCAGAGAGTACAGGAGCTTCATTCTACAAACCATGCAAGTTATTTATTCTGGAGCCTGTTGGGAGAGAGAGATGATGAGAACATGTGCAAGGCTGAAGGCAGTGGTCAGGCAACACAGGCGCTAAATACAAAGCCTGAGCACCTTGGCTGACAATTTCTGCCATTTCAGTCAGACGCAAACCAAGTGACATACTGCCGTAGAGAGGAGGGAAGGGAATCTTAGAAACTGTAAAAACCTTTGAAACAGTAATCCCAAGCAAAAGTGAAATCCAATAGCAGGAACCTGTCTTCACCTTCCTCTTCCAAAAAGCATTTGAGACAGCAGGGGTTGAAGAAGTGGTGTCTGTGAAGCATGAATATCTTTATGGGTGGCCTTCAGTGCCTGCAGCAACCCATAATTCTTTACCTGCCTTTGGCAAGCATACTGTAGAGGGTTTTTTGTCCGACTGAAACATGCAGCATCCAGCAGGTATGAAAAAAGAATCAGACAAAAAGCCATTTGCAAAGAGTTCAAAAAAAATAAGGGAAGTCATCAAGAATATAGGAGTCAGGAAGGGGGGCTTAGGGAACAGAGAAGAGAGAACATCCCCTAAAAGGATAACGTGACAAGGGTGCCTCTCTTTGTTGAGCTGTTTAAGTCAAGGACAGAAGGGGACAGAGTAAAGTCAGAGCCATTTTCAGTTCTCTCCTGCACAGAATTACAAATGTATTTGAAGAAAATGAACTGTGAGATGATGCGTGTAAAAAATATATTGCTCTACCATGACTGGTGATGGTAGAGTTATGTTGTATGTTTAGGCATGCATCCAGAAAAAGGTGACTGCCAGTTCACGGTTATGAATCATGAATCTCAGAGTAGAATAAGAAGCTGCAGTGTGCTGCACAGAACAAACCATCAGCAATTAATAAAGAGACCATCAAAACACAGCTAACTTCCAAGACGTCGATCAAAAGTTTAAAGTATAGCAAGACAAAGGAAAAATCAAGGACATAGGCACATCAAGAAAGGGCCATATAAATTTCAGACATCTCTGCACTGATTTATGGTATGAATGGTAGTCACAGAACCACACATTCTTTGAAAAGACAGAAAGACAATCGTAGTTGTGAAAACATAGCTACCGTAGCAAGAGAAGTGATACAGTAAGGAAACAGCTTTATCAAACTAGGTAGCAATACCAGGTTAGCAAGCATTAGAAGATCAGGTCCATGATTCTGATACAGGACATGTTAAAACATGAATTATTTCCCTCCATATCTTCCTAAAACCACACAAGTAACCATGGCTACCTCTCTTAGGTTTCATCGAGTCTTTTAAAGGTTCACCAGAGACTTTTAAATGGTTAAAAAGTCATCTCCACCTGAGGAGATTTATTTTCTTTCCAGCACTTAAAAGCCAAAGCACAGATTTCAAAACACATTCAACTCCATGGAAGTATGTGTCTCCCATCTACTGTTCCCTGCTCTTCCTCCATTCTTTTTTTAAAGCAGTTATCCATAACTTTTCAGTTTCTCCTAACAGGGACCATCTCAGCTTTTCACCTTGAAGGAGTGTCTCTGTGTTTAACTCTGTTGTTCAGAAGACTAGACCCACGAAACTACAGGGAAATAAACCCAAATAGGCAGCAGGGACTCACCTGGTTACAGAGTTGACACTGTAGGCTCTCTCTGAGTTTCTAGCTCTCATCATTCTCTGTTTTGAGAGAGGTCAGCAAGGAACTCTTTTCCTTCTGTCTTGTCCTGTGCCTTTTCCAGCTTTCTGACTCCATTTATCTGAAGTGGGGCAAATCAGTAAGAAAACTTCTCCAAGATGCTCCAGAAATCTTCACAAGAGTCTCAGGCTAGCAGCTGCCTCCTTCGAGGTAACTTCTGTCCTACCTCCTATTTTTCTGGCTATTAGTCTCAGGTGCTACGCCAATCCACTCAGCTTATTTAATGAAGTACAGCTGGGATACTCTGTGCCATCACATGAAGGCACACTTTTTACTCCTCACCACAAACAAAAAGCTGGATAACAGATAGAGAAAATATTATGTACACTGCACTTCAACAGTATCAACAGCACAGGAAAATTCACAACAGAAGGAACTTACAAAAACTGGGACCCTGCAGAAGTATTACCACTGAAAGTTTCTGAGACACTGCAGAGCTAGTATTTTCCAATTTTAATCCCTGTTTAGGAAAAACAGAGAGGGATTACAGCCCAAAGCATACAAGACACTAACATTCAAAAGCAGTCACAACATGGAACTGTCTTTTCTTACTCTGAAGCTATTTCAAAGTTTACCAAAACTTGCACAGGATCATCCAAATATGAAAACATCCAAATAGAAACACTCTTAAGACTTGCATGATGGATGGTTACAGCACTGATAAAAAAAAGTCACTACCTCAGTGCTGCGTTCCAACAAAAGGAAGGAAACCAGTTGGGAACAGCTGAGAGTTAATGTAGCAGGGACTGAAGATGGAAAAAAGAGACAGTGACTGAACAGCAAACAGCATTCTCTCTCTTTTTGGTCATTTTTAAATTTTACTTATTTTTAAGACTTGTATTTGTGCTATGACTGCTTCTTTATAAAAAAATACGTGTTAAACTGAATTTAAAAAAAACAAATCTGTTCTTGGAACTTACAAATACAAAAAAGTCTCTAACCAGGTTCTCCTAAATAGGGAACTTGAACACAATGGATTTTTTTTCCCCCCCGCCCTTAGCAGGGGAAGTAGGGTTAGTTTTAAAGATGTATACTGAACCAAGCAATGGAATTAACTAAAAAAAAAAAAAAGCAGAGGATGGAATTGACTCATTCTCCAAAAAGGGCTATTACTCATTACAGTGATATACACATGCATACATCTGGCTGAACACTCATTCATCTCTGTTGCTCAGCTTTCCCTCATGCTCCTGTTAGCACCGCATGGACCACTATAGCCAGGCACAGGCCCTGGATCTTCAGTCAATCCCCAGTCTCTCAAACTCCATCATCCCAGCAGCTGACAGACACTTTGCAGCTGCGAAGGGACATCCTTCCCTCACCTCTCCCCAGAGCAAAGGCAGAGGCGTGGGGAATGGAGTGTGAAGGCTCTTCATCACAACCACAGCAAGGAGCAGCGAGAGCCCACTGGCGGTGCATCCTCAGCAAAATCTCTCAGATGTTGTATGTTGAAATCTCACAGAAAGTTAACTAGGTGGCTAGGACACTTCAGTGTTACTGCATCCATTCTAATCTTGCCTGGTTCAGAAATATCTCTCTCTAGAGTACTCATTTACCTCATATACCAAGTTAAGTAAGGTTACTAACCTGTACTAATCAGAAATGTCTAACCTCAGCATGTCTTCATTCCTAGTTGTTCCTCCTCCAAGACCGTATCTTTATCTGGTTTCTTAAGAGTCTACTAAGAAGTGGACAAGACAAGGTTTTAACCAAATGTAAGCAGTAACAACAGGTTTTATTCAAAACTTCCAGTAAAGAGGACCCACTAGTTTTGGAATAAAGGTACTTAAAGTACTACAGCTTATATGAGTATAAAAGATCAAAGAGAAGAAAATAAACCAAGCAGTAAAAAAAAAAAAATTAAAAATATATATATTTTTTAAAAGTTTGAAATAAACACACATAGGGATTTTGAAGTCCTCCAAACAATTAACAGTTACTAGGTTTGGCAAAACAAGATTCTGTTACAAAATTAAAAGCCTACTTCTGTTACATAAACTGTATAAAACTGCTCAATAGTTAAAGAGCACTCTGTACAATTTTGTCTTGAAATACATAGAGCTGCAGTCTTCAAACTGCAGGAATTAATCATTTTGTCCTCTTCACGGGTAAAAGAATTAACCAGCTGCGCAACTGTTTTGGGGGAAAACGAAGAGGCAAAAATAGTCAGAATCAACAAGATGAAGCCACTATAAAAATGAAATGCACAGCAAAACTCAGACCTCAGTTTAAACTAACAAGCTATGTTTACAATATAGTCTACATTTCAGTTGTCATTTTTCCTTCCCGCTCCCACCTCCCCCCATTCAAATATTCCTAATTCCTTTATGGTCTAAATCTAATTAATTTCTAAACTTTCCAATACACCGTACATACATTTAGCAAAAAACATACCTAATATTCTTACAGCAGTATGGTCAGGACACAATTTCAAAGGTTATTACACAGTTATTGAGATTAAACCTTATGACTTTTTTTTTTTCTTTTAAAGAGATCAGCAACCATCAACTTAGACAAATGGTTTTAAAATGTACTGCAGAGAGCCTGCAAAAAAGCAGACTTCACCAACATTGGCTCTTAGCCCCAGAGGACACAGGGGAAAGCAGCGAGCACTGAACACAAGGAAGAAAGAGAGACTCAGAGTGTCAACTACAGGAAGATCCTTCGGGAACTCGGTCTGACAGATTGTGGTTTTGGCTCGGTCATCCCCGTTGCACTAAGCACTGCAAATCAACTTTGCAATAGTACATTACAATGTAAACTAAAATTCTTGATACTAACAGTATGTCAAAAGTGTGGTGGGGTTTTTTTTTTTTTCTGAATCCAACAGTTGGTCACAGAAGTCAAGTATTTTCATGGCTCTTATTCAGCTGTTGCCAGTTCGGGGCGGGGTGGGGGGGGGGGGCACCCGGGGGTTGGATTTATACGTCCTTCAAGTACATGCAAGGCTCAATTGTTTCCAAAATGCAGGAGCTTGGGACCTTTTAAGACACTGAAGAAATAGGATTATGAGGAGAGCCCATCTGAGTAAGTACTTTATCCAGCCACTGGAGGGGACCATGAAGATGTATCTCTATCCAGCATGGAGTGCTCGTTACATCTTGGCGATGATACTCAGCTCCCCAACCCTGGAAACATAATTGTAAATGGGAAAAGAAAAAAAAAAAAGATCACCTTACTTTATAGTATCAAATATGTGAGAAGCATACTTCAATCATCATCTTTCTTACCAAAGTACTTTAGCTTTCAACAGTCATTATCAGCAGGGTAGCACAACACCCTTGATGCACCAATATTATCACATTTCAACAAACAAATCTGAAGTTAAAAAGAAAAAAGCATTACATTTGGAGGAAGTGTCATTCTGAGATCTCTTGATCTCTTGGAATGGAAGTCTTTACATTCTTAAAGATATAACCCATGGCAGTGCGAAATTTCCCCATACCCCACTGCCAGCTGCATAATGTCCCACTAAAGCCTCTGAAGAGGGGGATAATCAAGTCTTCTCTGCGAAGACCAAAAATAGAACAAACTGGGGGGAAATGCTGCCAAACAGATGAGCAAATTAAAAAAAATGAGGTCATAAACTGACATTATGGAAATGGGGGTGAGGCATCTGTCTGACAAGAGCCGAAGCATCATTTGCAGGATAGACATGATAAACCAAGCAATAAGTCAAAAACATTCCTCTTCGGAGAAAGAGGGCATGGTCATTCCCCAGCAGGCTATTTCTCAAGACAATATAGGTTTTATTTCAGCTCATACCCGATTCAGTTACAGTAATCACCAAAGATATAAACAGATATTTAAACAGCATTCAAAATAATTTTCTAAGTGAACCATTTTTGGGGCAGGTCTAGAGACAAGACTAAGACAGCCGCAGGTAGTTTGCTCTGCTCTATATTAACCACTAATGAAGGGATTACCCAGCTCCCAACAGAGGTGGCAGCAGCTCTAAACACTGTGCAGTGCAACATCCAAGACATTGGATGTCCTCTGCTACTGTTCAGGCAACTCTGCCATACAACTCTCTAGTATGCAGAGCTATAAACAACCTATTCCACTTTAGGAACCCCAGTCCTAACACATCTGAAAGTTTCTATCCTCCTATCAAGATGACCACTTTAGCACATTACCATCTTCATTTGACTACTTTCACATGTGACCAGCCCTTTTATATCAGAGCCCATGTTGACACCCACAGCCACGTCACAAATCTTGACCTTGCATGCCCCCCTAGAATAGAAGGGTACGTATATTATTCTAAATAATCACTGCAGCTCCCAATTTGAGAGCTTCTGGTCAAGACAGATTTAGAGGATTATGCTATCTACACTCCCACAACTGCTACTTACAGTGCAGTTCCAGCTCAACTCTCCAAAAATACCACCCAGGAACAGGAGCATGAAGTTCAGCTGGGCCTCTTACAGAGCAGGAGTTGGCACGGACCATAACAATGGGCAAAAAAAGGGGCAAAAAGCTGATGCTTCATCATGAGTTGGTGGCTTTTCCACTTTTAGGCCAGGTAATTAATGACTCAATTCTTTTCAAAACTTACCTTGTACTGTATCTTAACATATACCACAAAATTAAAACGACAAGCCCTCTAATTCCAGAGTAATTATGCAGATAATTCTATACACACACACACAATCTATACACATATTAAATATGAGGATTCAACTGAAACAAAAAATTTACAAGAGGCGATTCAATTAAATTAGAATAGTTAACAGACATGATGGAAATGCTTCACAAGTGACTACAGACTCATGTAAAGAAACGCTTTCTGGAAGTTACCTCAAGCTTTCAAAGTATGTGTGTCAGATGGATTTTTGTCCACAAAACCAACTTAATTTCATTAAGATCTGCCTTACACTTAACAAACATTATTCCATACTTAAAATTCAACAGCTATTAATAGGTCGATGGAGGGAGGCACAGAACCATTCAAAATCACCACATTAAGAAAAAATAATTTATTTTGCTTACAAAATAATCTCAAGCAAATTTTCACATACCTTTACAAAACTCATACGGAGAGTGCACATCTTAGTAAGCTCATATACTGTCTCGAAGCCGTGGTTCACTGATTGAGCCAAAAGCTGAGCAAACTCTTGATTATTGAAAATCTTCAAACTGCAGCCACTGGGGATTTTGCAGACTGTGGTGGGATGGAACCCATGATGGTAGTTGCAGTTCCGACTTTGCACAAAAATACTGCTGTCACTAAGACATTCAGCATACACTTCCCCACCAACATAATAGAGATGAACACCTAAGAGGAGAAGGTTGACATAAGGAAGTTAGATGAATTCACACTGTTTATCTATTTTTCATACTCTCTCTCCACAGAGAGATGTTTCTGCTTGAAGAGATAAACATTAATTCATAGAATCATAGAATGTTTTGGGTTGGAAGGGACCCCTAGAGGTCATCTAGTCCAACCCCCTGCAGGGAGCAGGGACACCGCTAACTACATCAGGTTGCTCAGAGCCCCGTCCAAACTGGCCTTGAATGCTTCCAGGGATGGGGTCTCCACTACCTCTCTGGGCAACCTGTTCCAGTGTTTCACCACCCTCATTGTAAAGAATTTCTTCCTTATATCCAGTCTAAACCTACCCTGGTTTAGTTTAAAACCATTACCCCTTGTCCTGTCACAGCTGGCCCTACTAAAGAGATTTTCCCCATCTTTTCTATAGGCTCCCTTTAAGTACTGAAAGGCTGTAATCAGGTCTCCCTGCAGCCTTCTTTTCTCCAGGCTGAACAAGCCCAACTCTCTCAGCCTGTCCTCATAGGAGAGGTGCTCCAGCCCTCAGATCATTTTAGTAGCCCTCCTCTGGATAACTGCATATCAGACCACCATTTGTCTGTCTTCAAACCTGATTTTTACTTTTCTGTTTCATAAGTAGGCAATTTGAAAGGGGGTGTGTGTACATACATATAAGGGAAATCAGTAATTCCTGCATTTTAACATGATGTTTATTCAACAACAATAAACTAGCAAGCACTGCATTAGTTTTGATGCAGCATGTTGGATGGCTTAACAACTTGAACTTTTTCTCATTATGTTTACGTAAAACAATAATTAGGAATGCAAAAGGAGAGAGCAGAAACCTACTGCATAATTTGTAGATACTAAAGCAGGCCCAAGCTGGATTCTCTGGAAAAGTCCTGAATGCTGTTTTGGATAGAATGACTTTCTTCAGCTCCCTTTAATTCCAGGAAGCTGGAAAAAGAAAGTGGCCCTTATATTCCTCGTGTGTACCTGTCAAATGAGGGCGCACACGAATTTTATAGTCCTTTCCCCTTCTACTGCCTGCTGCCTCACCCGCCACTGACAGCAGCGAGCCCCAGAAGAGCGACATACAGGGAACCTTTGTGGAGATTTGCTGTCAGTAGCACTCCATTCCAAAGGCTTTGAGAAAGCAAAAAAATTTGCCTTTTGTGTTTAAAAATGGATTACTTGCCGTTTAAACCTTTCACCTCCCACAATGTCATGCATCAAAGAAGCAAATACATAGAATTTAAAAACTAAACTGAAGTCCCATCAGAAAGCATTGACTGTGCTCTGTCATGTAAGATTTTGCTGCTGTGTACCTGTGTGGGTACATATATACTCCCACCTAATCTGCAAAATCATTTATGGCTATGTCTTCAAGTTTGGGATTTACTCCTCCTTCCTCAAAGACAGTTTTATTTAATCATTAATTGTACACATTCACTTGTTCAACAGCATCCTTGTCTCTTCCACACTCTGCTGCAGTACATACACAGT